CCGGCCCGCCTCCCCCGCCGCGCCCCGCCCACTCGGGCAGCCGTGATTGGCTCCGCCCGCCCCTGGCCGCGCGCCGGAGCCCGCCTCCCTCGCAGCTAAAGCAGACGGTACCCGGAGCGGAGCGAGCCAGAAGGGAGCATGGTCCCCGCGCCGCGGCCGTGCCAGCCCTCACGCCGCCGCCGCCCCTGCCCCCGCGGGTCTCGCCGCCGCTCCAGCCCCGGCCCCGGCCCCGGCTCCCCAGGGCCCGCCCGCAGCCCGGGCGCTCGCCGAGCCTGAGCACAGCCCGAGCCCGGAGCCGGCCCCGGCCCCGCGGCCGCCGCGGCTGCGGGAGAGGGCGGGGGCGATGCTGCCGGAGCCTCCGCCGCCGCCGCCTCGATGAGCGCCGCGCCGCACCGCGCATAGCGCACAGGCTGACAGGCGGGAGCACCGGCTCCCTCTCCCGGGCATCCTCCCTGGGCTGCCGGGAGGCGGCGGCGGCGGCGGCGGAGGAGGCGGCGGCGGAGGAGGAGGAGGAGGAGGAGGAAGCGGGAGACAAGGCGGAGAGCAGCGGCGCGAGGAGGTGGACCTGGCTCCGTTCCCCCCGGCCAGGACTCGAGCGGCCCCAGCCTCGGCTCCCCGGCGGCGCCGACCCCTCAGCATCAGCCCTCCCGCGCCCCGCCGCGACCCCGGGCTCTCTGCGCGTCGGGCCGGGGCCGGAGCGCCGCGGCCGCAGGTAAGAGTCGGGCCGGGCCGGGGCTCGCAGGCTGCGGCGCGGGGGGACGGGCCGGGCCGGGCTTGGGAGCTGAGCGGGGCCCGGGAGCCCGGAACGCCAGGCTCTGGCGGCGGCGGCGGCGGCGGGAGCCTCCCGCGTCCGGACTCGCAGGGCTGCAGGAGCCGCTGCGCCTGCGCTGCTCTGGGGGAGACAAGGGGGAAAAACTTCCTGCCCCCGGGTGTGGGTCCGGGGGCTGCCGGGGGCACCGCCGTGGTGGCCGCAGGGGCCGGGAGCGAGCTGGACCCCAGCCGGGCCGGGCCTGGGCTGGGCCCGGCGCGCACCTCCCCAGGCCGCCTCCCGCGCGGCGCAGGGCCCGGCGGGCCGGGTCCGGGAGGCTCCGGAGGGCTGGTCCCCCGCGGCCGCGCGCCCTACCCTGTGGGGAGGTGCGGGCCTCAGTGCCGCGGGAAGCAGGGAGGGGTCTGCACCCTGGCGTCTTCGGACCCATCTGGGGACCGGGGCTCTTTACTCGATCCCAAGTAACTTTCGAGGTAGAAGAGCTTGGAGAACCACGGGGGAGGGAGCCGCGCGGCCCCTCTCGTCACCCACACCCCTCCCTTGACACCCGGGGTGCCGGCGGGCGAGGAGGTGGCGCCGGAGGGGGGCTGTTAGTGCGGGACAGTGGGCGGGAGACGCGCGCTGGGAACGCGCCGCGGGCCGCAGGGGTGCGGGCCGGGGCGGGCGCAGACTGGGGATCTCCCGGCCTGGAGCGGCCGAGAGCGCGCGGTTTATCTGCCGATGCCCGCGCTGGGCAGCGTCGGCCGGGCCCCCGGGGAGAGGCGTGCTTGCTCTGGGCGGAGCTTCGAGCCCCAAGCGGAGCTGCGGCCGTCCAAGGCTGCCCCCGGGGCAGGTCGCGTGCCTGTGCCTGTGCCTGTGCCTGTTGCGGTCGGCGAGGCCAGCCTCCTGCGGAGTGGGCGGCGGAGCGCGCCAGATGCCTGGGTCCGCCTGCTGAGCGGCCAGGTGTCTTCCCCGGCTCCAGATCCGAACAGCAGACGTGGGCAGCCGCCGGGTCCTCCTGCGGTCCCCAGGGAAGCCGCTGGTTGAGGAGCTGTGGCCACGGCCACCCCTCGGCGCACGTTCTGCTCTCTCCCGACCGTGCCTGCTTCTCGGCGCGCCCCAGGCAGGTCGTGGACACAGGTATTTGTGTAGCAGTAGGGGAGACCTGTCGCGGGAGGGACTAGAGACGTTGAGAACGCCGAGCTGCCTCTGCCCGCGAAACTTCCACTCCGCTCAGGGATATTTGGGCTCCAACGCTGCAGGCTCCAGCCCCAAGTCCACCGAGCGACGCTGGCATTCGGACTGTCTCCCAGTGACAAATCTGTCCTGGTTACAGCTGTATTTACCCTAATTTCAGTCTCTTTAAAGTCATTTGTCCAGTCGCCACAGAGTTTCTTCCCTTGGCGTGTGGTCTTAGTGCTAACTCAGCCTTGGGAGGGCAGTTTGAAGAATTATTTCAGTTTAGGATCCATGACAGCAGATCTAGTTAGGCCATGTCATTTCTGATCTGTTTTCATTAGGGGGGAGTTGTACAGCTAACTTTTAAATTATTTTTTTACTGGAGGGTATTGAGCAGTTTTACAAATTGTTCATTGGACAGACACTTAGAATGTGTCCAGGAAGCACAGGGGGGCTGCTTCAAGGGTTGATCGGCATGCACGTATGTATTAGTCACAGAGCCTGGGTGTTTATACGTGGTATATTACACAGGTATGGAGGGAGCGGTGTGGCCCTGATGAATATGCCTTGGCCCTGTACTTTGTTCTGGAGCACATTTGATTTATCACCTTGCTGTATATCAGGGAATTACTAGCATATGTGCCCTTAATGACATTTAAATTGGTTTATGGGCTGATGCACTTAACCAGTTTTAGTAACTTTTCTGCACAAATGTTTTATAAATCATGTTTGTCCATGATTAAGAAAAACATTTTCTCCTGTTTGGACTCTCCATTTCTAGTGCAGCTGTGGAAACGTAGATGTCTCCAACTTTCATTTGCAAGCAACAATCCAAACGAAATACCTAGAGTTTTACTGAAATAAAATATCCTATGGTAGCCATGGTAACAAATAGATTAAGGGTTATTGGTTTTCATCTGTATGTGATGGGGGGGCTAGTGTTGCCTCTTTAATTATGTTTCTAATGAGTGATGGTCATATTTCAAGTTCTCTGTGCAGGAGGTCAGCCAGACCAGAATTTAGTTTTGTGAGAGGTTATTGGAACAAAAACTCATAGAGCACAAGAGAATGATTTCTGTTAACTGCAGCTCCTCATACCCTGACAGCAAATGGATAAAACCTTTTTTGTTTTTTCAAGGAGATGAGAATTGAGTCAGTTCCTTTAAGATTAGAAAATGCATTTTGCCTATAAGCTATTACCAAAGGAGCCTTAAATCCACCCCGTTTTCTAGGAATAAACATGTTAGGAGTGTGGATGTTGCTGTGGCTGGAGTGTCACAGTTGTTATCAACACCTGTCCGTCTGAGTGAGGCATATCATTAGTCTATTCAAATCTTGCCTGTTTCAATATTCATGCATTTCCATGGTGATCCATTCCATTTTTGTTTACTTAGTCAACCTTATAAATCTTTGGCATCATTCTCAATTGTACATCTTTTTTTTCTTGGATTTATCAATCGAGTTGGCAGCAAATCATCCCAGTTTAAAGCAATTCTCCCCACACCCAGTTTCCAGAAGTTTACCCTATTCCTAGCTACAGACAGATAGAAAGGGGTTAATTTTTTTGATAGACTCAAATAACACCATCAATGTTAATATAGTTTTTAAACATCTTGCTCCGTGTGTGTGTGTGTGTGTGTGTGTGTGTGTGTGTGTTTCTTTTTCCTTCCTCCAGGCTTATTGTAAAGCCTTCTTTTATTATGACCCAGAGATATTCAACCCAGCAGAATTAGCTAAAGTTTTTCTTTCTTATCCTTTTTTTTTTCTTTCCTCAACTCCATCATGGTTCAAGGATTCTTTGTCGTCAGCTAGGTCTGGTTTGGAGCGACTTCAAGGCTGTGTATTAAAGCAGGCCTGCCCTTCTAGGATCTTTTCTCTTTCGGTAGTGGCCAAAGCCAGAAGGTCCTGGAACATCAGAGGATTTTTCCAGACGTAATGTACATTTAGTCACAGTAGTAGTGTCCCCAGGATCATAGTAACATTATAAGTCCACAGAACAGGCAGTTTTACTTAAATGTGATTGATGATTTTGCTCATATGCTTTCAACTTTGCTTTCTAATGATGCAATCCCATGCTAATCACAACCTTGTATATTTCAGAAATATCAAAGCAAGCATTAGCACGCTACTGTAATTGGAACACTTAAGTTCAAAGTCAGATGAAGAAATGGAATTATAACCAACCTTGTGATTCTATAATCAGTCAACTAAGCGCCTACTTAGGGGTAAGAGGAGGAAGAAATACCATGAATAAGAAATCCAGCCCTTGGTTACTGTGGATGAGGATCAGCCAGAGCAGTTACTGTGTAAGAGGACCGGAGGACAAGAAATGTCTTTGTGGACGGATGAATCCTATGTTCTCCAGGCCTTTCTCAGTAGCTTTCACTGTGCTAGGCACATGTAGACACGCATATTTACAAACTGGGAGAATATTTCTACTTTTCACAGAAAATAGTCGTTTGTCATTGTTCACAAAATCTAAGGTCATCTAGTACGCTAAAATTAGGTAACGTAGTCCCTGGCAATTAAATTCTACCATAGCGAATTGATAATTCTGATTAAGAAGGAAAAGTATGGCAGAATTCTTTACCTGAACCTCGGATCCAAAAGGCTGAGGATCGAGGCCATTCTGAAGTCCGACTCTGTAGTTCTTTCTACAGCAGCTGCACACTTGTCTCCCCCAGTCCGAGGTCAGAGAAAGTAGTCTGTGCTGTCTTCAAGGAAGCCAACTGAAAACAGGAAAACTGAAGCCGCACGCTCAGATGAGGCAAGCCGATCCCTGGAAGCAGCCGCAGAGTTCTCCCCAAATGCGCCTCACGGTGTGGAGCATTTCTACCCCCGAACAGTGGAGGGGGTGGAAGGGAGAGTTCTGTCTCCTGCGAG